GCAACCCATTTGGGGGTGCTTCAAGTGCAGCAGCTGCTGGAAGTCCTACGGCAAAGGCTTCTTCTCCTCCACCGGCGCCATCACAGAACCTGCATGTTGGAAGTAACCGTGCAGAGAAGTATCTGCCAGCATTGCCGCTCATCGATAATGTGTCGATGGGAAAAGGGCGTGTGAGAGAGCTGGAGGAGTACCATCGGTGGTGCGAGGTGCTTGCTTCCTGGCTGGCGTTGATAGACGACAACTATGTCAATGAGTTGCGCCAGGCAATGACGCATGACCGTGAGATCAAGCAGTCTGACATGGCAGTTCCGGTAGCATCGCGTTCGGCAAGGTTGTTTTACTACCTGCAACAAAGTCTGCAGAAGTTCGAACGTGGGATGGAACTGGTGAGAAGCACGTCGATGCGTCAAGGACAAGCTGCTTGTGGTTATGAGGTGATGCGTCAAATGCACCAGACCTTCAGCATTGTCTCTCGCATGGAGGCCATTGCTGTGAGAGATGAAGCCCTTCGCTTAACTTCGAAGGCGAGTTCGTACAAGCGACCGCTTGACTGCGTCCGCTTCCTTGAGGACGAGCTTGGGAAGGTAGACCAGAAGCTGCATCGGTTCCCTGAACTGAGGCTTGGAGCATCTGATCGTTCAACCCTTCTTCTTCAATCTGTCAGCCCAGAGTGTAGGCATTACGTTGTCCTGCATGGGAAGTCTGGGAGCTGGGAGGAACTGGTTGAAAGCATTCGGTTCTACGAGGAGCAGACCCGATTGTGTGATGCTGGTTCGCTGAATGCAGTTGGGGAGCGCGGCCTCTGCTGGAACTGTGGCAAATCAGGCCATATGAGTTGGCAGTGCCCCGACAAGAGCTCTGGCAAAGGGAAGAAGAGGGATGAACCGAAAGGTGGAAAGCCTTCTGGTTCCAAGAATCGAGAGAAGAGCCCTAAAGGGAAGGGCAAAGGCAAAGGGAAGACAGACAAAGGAAAGGGTGGAAAGCCCAAGGGGAAGCCAAAGAACAAAGGAAAGCCCAAGGGCCGAGCTGTGGAAGACGAGCAGTCTGATCAGGTGATGGCAATGCGGTCTCATCATCTGAGTGGCTTGGGTCCGGGGACAAGAACTAATGAGCCCAATGAAGCTGAGCCCCCTCGTCTCACCATGACGAACGGAGAGATCGAGAGACTGAACCAGTCATCCTCTAGGAATAGCTCTTTCGCATGGCTCATTGATAGTGGAGCCACCTGCCACGTGTTGTCAGAGAGTGCGTTGGGTTTTTACGAAGTCGTCAAGGAGCATTCGGGACCTCTTCCTGTGCTCATGAGTGCTAGCGATACGCCCATGGAATGTGTCAAGTTGGTTGACCTTCGGGTGAAGTTTGGGAAGTTGGGGCCCGTAGTGCTTCAACAGGTCTTGGTTTGCAAGATTGGTTTCAACGTAGTCAGTTCTTGGCAAGCGTCCCTTTCGGGATGGAATACTTGGCTCACCTCAGAGCCTGGAGCAAGCTGCTTGGTGAAGCAGACGGAACGAGGTTCCTCGATGTGGGTGCCTTTGGTTCGTGAAGCCAGGAGCTGGTGGGCGTTGGCTAAGGAGATTGGCCCTACCAAGGCAAAGCCGAAAGGAAGAAGAAGCAAAGGGGACTCACCCAAGCCGGGGTGGAGCCCGAACGACGACGCGATGGAAGTGGATAAGGTGCAGAAGAAGGCACCGCCCAACGTAGGAAGAGCATTGGAGGTGACACCTTTTAAGTTTTTGCTGCGAGCATTTTCAGTGAAGCAACATGTGGGGGAACACGATCTGCATGAGCATGTTTTACAGGAGCGTTTGAGTGGATGTGAGCATGCTGCAGTTGCGAAAGTAGGAGTAGACCTAGAAACCCCGCCCTCTGCCTGTTGTGCTGAAGCTTTATGTTCCGCCGCAGCTGTTTTGCTTAAGTCTGCAAGCAACACGTCTTTGGAGAAGCAAACCAGTAGGGACACACGCTGTGGAGAGCAGGGTTTTGAGTGCGTAGGGGTCGGGCCTGTGCCGCTCCAGCCTCAGAGTGTTTGCATTAGGAGTAGGAGTGCCTTGCGTGTAGGACGTAGGAGTGACTTGCACCCCAGCGCTTGTGTGCCTGAGTGTTTGTTGGGACAGAGTGAAGAGAGGAAGTGTGCCTTTCGGAGCTTGCGTTGGCCAGGAGTGTTTCTGAAAGCATTGCTGGTGTTGTGTGCTCTAGGAGTGTTTTGCTCAAAGCCTGGAGCCTGTGTAAGGGACCTTGGAAAGGATGGAGCTTCCGGAAGCCTCGCCTCCGCTCTGTCTTGTGAACTCCCAAAGTGGGAGTGTGGCCCAGGTGGAAGCCTTTTCGACGAGCATGATTGCTCGTCTTGCGCACCGTTTCGAGGAGGAAGGTCAGCTGTCTCTTTCGAGGCAGCTTCTCCAAAACATCGACCTTTTTACCTCGACCCCTGGCTCGGTCGAACGGCTGTTGGGGATTCCAGCCTGCCTTGGGGAGTTGGAGACACAGGAGTTGGTGGTCAATACAAGCGGCGTTCCGGTGAAGCAACCTATGCTCATTGCCGAGCTGCGCGCCATTGCTGCTCCGACGGTGGACCAGTCGGTTTTGACGGACACCCTCGTCGAGGAGCACGACCGTCGTGCAGAGTATGCAAGGTATGGCTATGTTTTGACCACCATGGGGGTGGTAGTCGCCGATGTGAATGCTACCATCCGCCAACCGCACCTTCCATGCGAGCAAAGGGGGTACTGGCGCAACAATCAGGTTGGCATCCAGCTCACCTTGAAGAAATTTCTTCTGTACTTGGAGGCGATTCGGGTGTTGCGGTGCCATCCTGCCCAATACCAGTTGTTCACGGCAGAGCTGTCAAACATCCTGCCGAACGAGCTCAAGGTCGAGCGTGTGCCGGCTGCCGACTTGAGAGCGCTTTTGGCGGACGTGCTCGTCCAGAGCCACCGCCGGGTGACTTTGGCTGCCCAACCGCCAACTATAATACCGGATGTTGCACCATCCGCGTCGGGTGGCACGGCACCGCCTCTTCACAAAAGTGCCCCAGCTCCACCTCCTTCGGGATGGGCTTTGCTCAACCAAGCGCGTGCAAAAGCCGAGGCAATGATTCGATTGCATGCCGACATGAAGAGAGCTGCAACAGCCGAGGTGGCTCCATCATCGTCGACGGGCCCCGCTTTTCCACCAGGGCCTCCGGCTTTCTTGCCGTTCAGCCCTCCTTCCCCGCTTACGCCGTCCGTCTTTTCCTATGCTCCATCTTCGGCACCAGGCACGCCTATGGAAGCAGGCATGCCTAGAACTCCGCCTCCTCTACCTCCTCCATCTTGGGCACCAGGCACGCCTATGGAAGCAGGCCTGCCTATACCTCCGCCTCCTCTACCTCCTCCATCGACACCGCACCCAGATACATTGAGGGAGCTTGCGGGCGAGGTTCCAATGGAGGTCGAGACGCCGATGACGCCCGTGGAGGCATTCGGTGCCCCTGGGACCCCTATGGACGTGATTTCCGAGGTCCCAATGGAGCCAATGGTCGGTGGCATTGGAAGTCCGGGGAGCGCTTCTCCTTTGACCCCGCCGGCAGAGACGAGTATGGTGGTTCCAAACCCACCTATGGACAATTCGGATGTGGGAGACTCTGGCTCCGAGATGGATTGATATGCTTGGGTATGGGCCCTGAGGGCCTAAAAGCCGGGCATGAGTTGCTCCGATCTTCGCCGCAATGCACAAAATTGGTAGGAGTAGGTCTGAAAGCCTTGCTGTTTGCAGTAGGAGACTGGCTGTGTGCATTAGGAGGTAGGGTCGGAGCGTTTGAGTGCTTGGTAGGTGACTGTGAGTGCAGCCTGCCTGCCGCGAATGGGTCTGCACACTGTCCCTCTGTGCCCAGGTCTTCATGGAAAGGAAGCAGTGCCTTGGCTTTAGGGTTGGCTCTGGGTTTGGTTTTCAGAGGTTGGCTGCGTAGGTGCGTGAAGCTTTTGAGTGTGCGCCGTAGGAGTAGGCTGAAGTTTTTGCGTGTAACTTTGGTAGGACGTGTGCCACGTAGGTCTTGGAGTGTTGTGCGCCGCCTGTTGTTTGTGCGTGGCGTGCTTGCTTGTGAGTTGAAAGCTGAGCCTACGGGCGAGGAAGCAAAAGGGCCAATGATGAAACGTTGGCGTGCCTTGAAGAAGTGGGCCTTGTGTGGGCTTGGGTCCCTGCGGGGGTCCGAGCAAAAGAAGGCCGTGGCACGTTCTGAGGCCCTGCGTATGCTTGCTGGTTTGCCGACCCCGGTTGTTGTGAATTCGGAGTCGGAGGAAGAGTTGATTCCTGATCCGTTGGAAGCTGAACTTGCGAAACCCAGCGGAAGTGAACCCCCTAGGCCCTCCGATGTTCGAAAGAAACCCCGTGTGGAGAATGTTCCCTCAGGTGAACCGGGTGCCCTGAGTTCCCCGGAGGTGGTGAGCGATGCTCTGGATCCTGAGGTTCCGGTCTATTTGACCTCGGAGCGGCTGAAGGCGCACCGAAATAAGGGCCACCAACCTTATCTTAGTTGCTGTGACACATGTCAAAGCGCTAGAGGGAGAGTGCCGGCTCGTAGGAAGCACATGAAACACCACCACGGACCCGGAGAGTTGCAAGTCGACTTTGGATTTTTCGGAAAGAATGTTCGTTTCCTTCTCATGGTTCATGTGGTGTCGGGGTACATACATACCGTGGTCTTAGGACCTGAGGATGAAGTGCCCGCTGTATCGGTTTGCAAAGCCTTACCACTTGGGTTCCCCCAACGGGATTGTCCCTCTGTTTGAACTAGGGCGGGCTGGGATGGGGGAAAAACTTGTGCTTTGAAAAGTCCTTTGAAAGTTGCTTCTCGCTTCGGATTCTTCAGATGCACACAAGATGGTTTTGCAGCATGCATTGACTTGTGAAATGTCAGGCCTCGTTGCCTTTGTGGCGCAAGCATAAAATTTTGTTAGTGAGGGGGAGGGGACCTGCGGCTCATGGACTGTTGGGGATTGCTGGGCTGATGTGAGCTCTTTTCCGACATGTCTAATTGGGCTGGACTGCAGAAGATTGATGATGGTCTTTTTGCTGCTGTTTCTGACACGTACAAGAATCTTTTGCAGTTTGATGGTTCCTTCGAAGATGAAGCTGGGGCTAGATCTACTGTGGAGGAATTTCTTGCTGGAAAGAGGACAGCAGGCGATATCGAAAACATTTCAAAGGAGCTCTGGGCATGGAGGCAGTCGCGCTTGAAGAGGAGGCCGTCCGAGGTAGTGCTTTTGCAGAGACGCTTACCTGAGTTCGCTGCTAGTGTTCCACGCTCCCAGAAGGATATCACTGCGGTTTTTGAAGAGGCAGTCAACACCACCCCTGCTGTTGCGCTGTCCCTGCTGAAGCGTGCAATCAGAGCAGCTAGGGCCCATGGGGACAAAGAGGAGGTAGAGAACAAGTTGCGTGAGAAGTGGGCCCTCGAGCTTGTCGCCATTATACAGGAGGCAGAGCTGCCTGCTGCAGAGCGGATTGCTGCACTGGGCAATGACAATCATTTCTGGTGAAGAGCTTTTGGACGACGTAGGGGAAAAACGCTGCGAAATCGTGCGAGAGCTTGGAAGCCGGTTAGGGCTTGGTTGCAGGGCTCTTTGGGAATTTCTTGGCCTGTGGATGTTGGAGTGATCTTGAGATATCTTGAGGAGAGAGATGAGATTCACAGGATGGCAAGCCTTTCACTCTTGGAAGGCGTTGGGATGGTACCGGCTGGCAAACGTCTTAGCGAGGACCCCTTGCTGCTTGAGAGCATCAAGTCTTGGACAGCCGAGCTGGAAGTCGATCAAGCTGCACCAAAGGCAGCTGCAATGTTGCCTGTTTCAGTCGTGCTAATATGCGAGCTGGTGGTTTGCAGGCCTTTGTACCCACCTGGGTTGCGATTCATGGCTTTCATTTTGCTGGTCATGGTATGGGCAAGCCTGCGCGCAGATGATATGCAAAACGTCAATCCAGCCAGTGTGAAGCTGAGCCAGGTCGGACTGAGGTTCATCCTTAGGAAGACGAAGACGAGTGGACCTGGGCGCAAGGTTGGTGAGCTGCATGGGTTCATTTCTCGGGTCGTGGGACTCAGTGGCTTTGACTGGCTCGGGGAAGGTTTCAAGCTGCTGACTTCTGAACGATTTTCATGGGCGCGAGATTTTCTTTGCCCTTGCTTTACAAATGAGTGGGATGAGCCAAAGAGAGAATACATGGACGCGGAGGGCCTCGCCTTGCAGTTGAGGCGTTTGCTGAAGGAGTTGCCTACACCGGTGAGGCAAATGGGAACCTGGAAGGTGAAACGAGAGCTGCTGCTGCCTGGCGACGTCGCAAACTTTTGGACAGGGCACAGTCCTCGTCACTTCGTGGTGAGCATTGCAGCCGCCATCGGGATATCAAAGGACCGGCGTGATTATCTGGGGCGATGGGCGTATGCTCAACATGGGTCACAGGATTACGTCCTCACTTCGCGTCAGGTGGTCCAGGCGATCCAGACCACTGTTTGCAAGACACTGCTATTGGGGGGCGATGGAGGCGGTTACATTGAGGAGGAGCTGCTTTGCACTTTAAGGAGTTTTGCTGATGACCTTGGATTGAATGGCGAGGAGATCGTCGGCGCAAATACGGTGATGCAATGGGATGGACACAAACAGACCTGGTTGCTGGGGGGACAATATCCTGCTTTTGCTGTGAACCCGGAGAGGGTTCCGATTGCCGAAGGGGAGCTCGAGGCGAAGCTCCCTGGAGAATATGAGGCTTTTGAAGCAGAGCCGGACGAGGACGAGGCGCCGTACTTCTTGACTGTCTCTCGGAGAGGGTTCAGACGTTTGCATCTTTCCAAGCGTTGTGCAGTCCGGAGAGAGAGGTGCCTCGAGACCATTCCAGTTTTCCACCTTGGAGAGGGCATTGCTGATGCGATGTGTAAGCTGTGCAAGCCGCGGGTGGAGTTAGGCGAAGAGTCTTCAACTAGTGGCTCGGAGGACACTGTTGAGGGTGAGCAGGAAGCTCTTGAGCCAGAGCCTCTCGGTGGAGGCCTTGGCTGGAGGCTTGGGGCATGATCAAGATCTCTGATTTGCACCTTGGGCTGGAGGCGCCTGACTCTTGGATTCTTGGTAGGAAGCTCTGCAGGAGGCAGCAGAGCGCAGTGCTCGATTAGAGCAAGACGTGCCGGAAGGAGAGCACGCATTAAAGAGTGAGATTGCTGGGGAGGGGACAGCATCTAGACGAGCTTGTAGTGCTTGACCTCCTGCAACGGGGTTGCAATCACTGTTGGAGGTGCACTTGTGAGGTTCGTACGCAGATTGATGGCTCGAATTTTCCGGGATTTTCTGCTTCTTTCATAGGTCCACTGTGCATGTGCTGAGGTGCGGGGACGCTGTGCTGAGAAGCACCTGGTGCAATGGCCGGAGCGGCGCCGGCTCCTGGGCCAGCAGAGTTGCCGACAGGGGTCACCCAGGACCAAGCCCTTGATTTTCTTGATAAGCAGGTAAGTTCTGATCTGGTGCATATTTTCCAAGAATGCGGAATGCCTTTGGGATTGCAGTATCGATTGGGACAAAACTTCAAATCAGTGAAGCGATTCTCGACATACGCTGACACACGGGGCGAAGTGCGCACTGCTTTGAAAGATGATCACCAGTTGGAGGCCACTGACCAGGCGAGCAGAGCTGTCGTTGCAGCAGTAGTTTCAGCCTGGGAGACATCGCGCGAGGTCGCCAGCAAGGAGACGGAGTTGAGGGCAGAGGCGCGCATGCTGGGCGTCAGCAGACCAGTGACGCAGACTGAGAAGCAGGCTATGAGGGTTGCGTATGAGGCAGCCCACGGGATGCTCGAGGAGGCATTCGAGCCTTCCGACGACTACATCTCTGCAAAGCTTGAGGAGGTCGAGAGTGGCGAGATCACCGCTAGTGCCCTTTCTGAAGTGACATCCAAGAAGAAGGTGAAGACCATGGGGATACAGACGACAGTGGATACTGGAGGTCATGTCAGGATCGTCAAACAGAAGAACAAAGGGGTAATGCCCTCACATACAGAAGAGCTGAGAACGGTGCTGAGAGTTGAGGGCAATATGTGGACATTTTTGGCATCCAAGTACAAGAACAAGATCTTTTTCCAAGGCATGGGGCCAGATGCTTGGCTGGGATATGCAAACTACTTGCTTGGAGAACGGGTGTACTTGCTGCAGGTCCCGGTCACCGGGAAGGGCGGGAAGATGGATCAAATCCCACTGAAACCGCCATGGGTGGTGATTCTCAACTATGAATACGAGTTGAGGAAAGAAGCGATCAAGAGAGCCTTTCGTGATTCCCGCCCCTTGCGCGAGACCCTTCGGGAGGTGACAGATGATGCACAGTTGAAAGAACAGTATTTCACAGCTCCCATAGCGCTGCAAAACAGAGGAAAGCGTGGCAGTGATCAATGGGATGGCCAGCACGATGATGGAAAATGGCACCGGGACACCTGGCGAAAAGGAGCTGGCTGGGGCAAAGGCACACCGCGCAAAGGAGATGACAAAGGACGTGGCGATCAAAAGGGCAAGGACAAGAAAGGAAAGGACCCAAAGGGTCCTGGCAAAGGGAAGCGTGAGAGCGTCACCACCACTCGAACGCCAGACGGGAGGTGGATCTGCTTTGACTACTCCGGGCCAGGATGTGATGGAAACTGCGGCATGGTACACTGCTGCATGGTCAAAGGATGCCACGGGCCACATCCTACGTGGCAACATTGGCAACAGCATCACTCTGGCAAGACAACGGATGCTCCGAAGCACTGACTCAGGGTCTTGGTGGGCTTCGGCAGTCACGGCGCAAACGAGCAGATGCATGTGTGTTTTAAGAATGCAGCACAGAGGACGGGGAGCGAGCTTAAGGTTGGCTTCCTGCTTGATTGCGATGATGATGCATGGTTTAAACCAGAGGCATGGGATCGCATTTTCACCGAGATTCATGAACATTCATGGGATATTGTTTTGCTTTCGCCGCCTTGCAAGACGTTCAGTCGTGCAAGAGAGCACCGCAGGACAGGGCGGCATGGGCCTGGTCCTTCCAGGTCGCACACTTATCCTTTTGGTTTTCCTTGGTTGGCAGAGAGGTCGCGTGCTGCTGTTGATCGAGAAAATTTTTACTTGCGGCAGTCTTTCAACGTAATCAAAGCGGCAATCAAATCGGGCATGGGTTGGCTACTCGTCCACCCAGAGGATCTGGGTGCTTTACATTCGGGTCAAAGGCCAGCTAGCATTTGGCAACTTGATGAGCTTCGTGCATTTGTGGAAGGTGATGAACATGCGGCAACATGGGCAGTACACATGTGCACTTTCGGGGGCGATCTTCCTCACCCCACGAGGCTGGCAACCAATTTAGCAGGCCCTGAGGCGCAGCTCAGATGGCCGCAGTTCGATGCAACAGGGTCCTATGTAGGGCCAATTGGCCGGTGCGAGCATTTGCATCATGGTGGGGCAGGCATAGCGCACGATGGAAGTTGGAAGACGGACACACCTCTTCCGTTGGCCTTCTGTGAACATGTGGTGCAGATGGCATGTGATTGGCAGTTGTCTGGGCGCACTACAGACGACGTCGGCCATCCGGCTGAACAGTTCGCCACATGCTTGCTAGAGCAGTCCGATTCGCGTAAGCTTGGGAAACATGATGGAGAAGCTCTGGCCCGCCTGCTTGAATACGAAGCACCGCATCCGGCAGCAGTGGCAGATGCGGCCACGGAGCAAAGTGGCGGTAAGGCCTTCTTCGGCGGAGCCTACACTAAGGGTGGCATCACGGGTTTGCGCCGTTCTTGCCGGGTGTTCCCTCAGTCCCTTAAGTGCCTCACCTTGCTCCTGCGTGATGCCTTCCCCAACAAGCCCTTTAGTTCCCTTGTGGTGTTCAATAACGTCAAGAGTACTATGCACAAAGACGTGCACAACGCGCCTTATCCCAACTTGCTTCTTGCCTGGACCACTTTCCAAGATGGGCAGGTTTGGATGGAAAGCAGCCACGGTCATGTCGTGCGCATGGTTCGCGGCATCCCGCGCAAAGGCGTTCTTCTCCCAGTGGCCCAAGCTCCGCAGGAGCTCCAGGCTCACAACTGCTTCCATCAAACCGAGGCGTGGACTGGTGATCGAGTTCTCTTAGTTGGATTCACAGTCACCCGCCTTCACTCACTGTCACCGCCCATGCGTGATAACCTCCTCTCTTTGGGCTTCGTCCTTCCCCCATCTGCTCACCTGCCACAGCAAGGGGGGGAGGGGCTCGCTGATCGGGAGGCCGAAGCGGTGCCGGCGATGGCATTGCAACATGAACTCCACGCTACTCAGGAGGGACCATCCTGGAGGCCCCGGGCCCCGTCCTTGGCACCCCTTCAGGAGGGACCATCCTGGAGGCACCTGGTTTGGCTTCCTCGTCTAGGGACCCTTCGGTTTGCACCCCTACAGGAGGAACCCTTCTGGAGGCCCCGCATAGCACCCCAACAGGAGGGACCATCCTGCTGGCACCTGAGGCTCCCCTTTCCGACCAACCCGATGGCGAGGACGTTGGTGACTCCCAAGAGTTTGACCCACGCACATCCCGTTGCAGTGGGCCGGCCTTGCGTTGTCGGCACACACAGGTCCGGCATGAACTTGTGGATGGATTTGGCTTGTGCTCCCCGGGGAGGTGGCGACCGAAGTCACGTGGGGCATTGGCCTCCGACATCGAGCACAGCCATTCCCTTAGCATACGCAGGATTCTTGTCAGTGCGCTGCGGGAGGCCATCCCCGACAGGAAGAAAGCTGCCTTCATGCTTGCCACGGGGAGGATGGAGAGCTCACCGTTTTCCCGCAGCACCATCGCTAAGGTCAGGGAACGGATTGCTGCTTTGTTGCCAGACCCTGAGCAGGCAATGCAGATTCCCCAAGGACAACCTTTCATGTTGCACATGCTTTCCCAGTCGCTCCGGGTGTTTGGGGATCCTGACTATGCAATTCTGGACCAAGGGAAGGACTCGTTTGCAGAAGGGGTGCCCCTTGGTTGGGATAAGCCCATCGGCAGGGCTCCTCAGGTGTTCCCGAAGAGGACGCACTTCCGGAAGCTTGACGAGACCGAGTTTGATCCCTCCATGGTGAACTACCGGTCAGCCGAACTAAATGCTGAGCAGTTGGAAGAGAAGTTTCGTCAAGACGAACGGGAAGGCCTGATGATCTGCACCACGGAAGCTGAGGCTAAGAAGAAATATGGAGAGGACGCTGTGCTGATCGCTGCGATGGGAGCAGTGACCAAAGCTAATGGTGATGTGCGGCCGCTACATGACGGCACCCATGGCATCAACCTAAACAACCGGATCGTGATCACAGACAAACTGCAGGTTCCTGGACCAGAAGACCTTCAAGAGGTGGCAGCACGCGTCAAGGAGAGCAAGGAGGCTCCTTTTTCCCTATGCGCCGACATCAGCCAGGCGCACCGACGCGTAAAGGTGCGGGAGGCCGATTGGCCACGCTTGTCGTGCAAGGCATCCTCGCAATCGCGCGTGCTTTGGCTAAATTGCGTTGGAACGTTTGGGGTCAGCTCTGCCGCATACTACTGGTCGCGCCTTTTCGGAGCCGTTGGACGGTGGACTTTCCGGGTCCTTTCCTTGGACCAATTCTACATGTTGATCTACGTGGATGATCTTCACGTCGTGGTGTTTGGCTGCGATAAGTACGATACCCTATGGCTGCTTTTCTTGGCCCTTGAGGTGATGGGGACTCCTTTCTCTTTCCACAAGTTCAAAGGGGGAGTGGAAGTGGACTACATTGGATATCACCTCAGCTACTTCACGTGGGCAGCTGGCATTTCGGAGAAGCGGGCATCCTGGATCGTTGAATGGATCGATCGAGTGGAAGCCGACGGGTGGATGGTGTCTGGCAGGCGGCTGGTGGAGTTCACCGGACGTCTCAACTTTGTGACACGCATGATCACTTGGTTGAAACCTTTCCTGGCACCATTGTTTGCTTGGAACGGGGTGCTCAGCCGCAGCACAGTGGCGCGCCTACCCGAGATGGTGATGCTAGTCCTTCGATTTTTCCGCCACCAATTTTCATCAGGAGCTCGACTTGATTCTGTGCACATGACCTGGCCAGCGCAACAGAGGCAGGCATTTCGGACGGATGCTAAGTGCGAGAGGGGGCGCATTGTGTTGGGGGGCTGGTCCTTAGATCATGGGGTTGATACTAGGCAAGCACCGTGGTTTGCTTTGGAGGTTTTCCCTAATGACTTGCCAGCACTCTTCAAACCTGATGGGTCGTCCGAGTGGGCCTCCACTGCCGCGGAGCTGCTCGGCTCATATGTCGGGCTTCATGCATTCGGGCATTTGAAGAAATCTGCCGGGCGGGACTCCTTGAAGATGCAGGTGTGCGGTGGAACTGACAACAAAGCCACCCCGGCCATCGCTGCAAAGGGTTTATCTAACAAGTGGCCCGTGCAAGGGATCCACATGCAGTTGTCGGTTGCCCTTCGTGAAGCTAATAAGGTTTGCAAGCTTGCCTGGAGGCCACGGGAAGAAAATCAGGATGCCGACGATTTGACTAACTTGAAAACTGAAAACTTTGTTCCTTCAAAAAGGGTGACAGTTGCGTTGAAAGATTTGCAAATGGGATTGTTTCACGAGTTGCATGAGCACTACGAATCCTTCAGGGATGAACGAGCAGCCATGTCAGCTGCTAAGAAAATTGAGCCTAAGGCCACTAAGAGGCAGAAGTTGCTTGACAAAACGGAATGGTAGGTTTGGGTTGGGCTCACTGGCGCGGCATGCTCTGCTAAAGGGGGGACGCCTGGAGTATGCCACGCCCGTGGCTGGCTGTATGTGCCACCAGGCACACCTTCTTGTGCAAGGCCTGTAGGCTGCATGCTGCATCGGTGGGACCCAACACACGCCTTGGAAAAAGTGACGTCCGTTTCGGAGTGCGCGTGTTACACTTGTTGCAAGGGTTATGTCATGCCGTGCCTTTCCTTTTGAACCCAAGACCCCTTAGCCTTCTGGTTCAAACTTTGGGACAAACCACTTGGGTTCCCCCAACGGGATTGTCCCTCTGTTTGAACTAGGGCGGGCTGGGATGGGGGAAAAACTTGTGCTTTGAAAAGTCCTTTGAAAGTTGCTTCTCGCTTCGGATTCTTCAGATGCACACAAGATGGTTTTGCAGCATGCATTGACTTGTGAAATGTCAGGCCTCGTTGCCTTTGTGGCGCAAGCATAAAATTTTGTTACCCACCCTCTCCGCCCTGAGAGCACAAGGTGCAAGTGCCGGTCTGTAACACTTGAGCAGTGGAAGGATGCCTGACTGTGCCACACCTGTGGCTTGGGACGCCTGGAGTATGCCACGCCCGTGGCTGGCTGTATGTGCCACCAGGCACACCTTCTTGTGCAAGGCCTGTAGGCTGCATGCTGCATCGGTGGGACCCAACACTACGGAAATGGGATTGAGTGGATTGGACATTGTTGTCCACGGGGACCAAGAAAATCTCCTCGAGAGTGTTTTCCGCAATGCAGCGAAACACCGGACATTCGGGGGGAGGTCAATGCACTGGGTCCCGTTCGCGATAAACAGACCTCAAGCGAAGGGCATCGTTGAACGCCATGTTTGCCTCGTAAAAGAAGCGTTCTGGTCTGTTTGGCTGGGCTTAGAAGAGCGTGTAGGTGAAAAGTTGCCTCTAGGGAGCCATCTGTTTGTTGAGGCCATGAGGTACTCTGTGAGGATGCATAACTTGTTTCATGTGTCCAAGGAACACAGCACGCCGTTGGAGAGACTGCGTGGGTCGACAGTTCAGCCAGTGAAGAGCTGTGAGTTTGGGGTTGTTGGCTTTGGAAAGCCTCAGAAGGACTACCCGGAGCACCGCGGAAAGCGCTTGGTGAGGGCACTCTATGTAGGACCTCACGGTGCTAATGGATCCGGGATTCGGGTCTTTGTTCCAATAGGTAGTGGAAAGCCCCCTCGTTTGGAAATCTTCAGCTCTTTTCGTGCCAAAGATCCAGTGGAGTTTGACAAAGCTGCTTTGCGTGACCTTCGAGGTAATAAGGAAGACCCTGAAAGACCCATCAAGTTCGATGTTCCAATCGATGGTCCGAGTCCGCCGCTTGATTCCCCAAATATCCCTGAAGGAAGTCTTGAGTTTCCTGTTGAACGCACCGAACCACCTGCTCTTGAGGGCCCTGAAGCAATGGAAGAAGAAGGAGAGTTGGATGGGTATTCTCCGGATTTTTCGGACGTGCCTGAAGAAACAGGCATGGAGGTTGAGCCTCCCGGAGGCGTAGGTCTTGAGGACCTCGACGCCCCTATGGATCCAGGAGAAGACGATGCCATGGAAGAGGGCCTGACGTGGCTCTATGAGCATGGCCTTAGGCAACTCTTTGATGGGCCTGACTTGAGAGTAACGACAAAAATCCGTAAGGGAGATGATGTCAAAGAGTGGTTCCGTATGAAGTTTGGTGGAAAGAAGATTTGGGTCCATGTCCCGGACAATGCGGTTTGCGAAGTTTCTGGCAAGGTTTTGCCTCGTAAGCATCTTGAAGAAGGTATGAGACTCGAGCTCTCAGAACTTGATGCTTTTGGTGTAGCTACGATTATAGGAGAAGCTGAGGCCCGTAAACGAGCTACGCGGAGAATCCATACGACTAGGTGGGTTCTGAATTCGAAACCGTCGGCCACGAACCCTGAACGCGTTCGTGCTCGTCTTGTTGTGAGGGACTATGCATTTGGATCCAATCCTCTCGCTGATGGGATATATTCCCCCACCACGTCTTTGGAAGCCTTGAGGGGTGTCCTTGCTATTCATGCTGTCAGAGGTGGCACCTTGTTGTCAGCAGATGTGAGCGTTGCCTTCATGCAAGCGCCTGTGCAGGGAGTAGAGTGTATCCGGTTTCCGAATGGGATGTATGATGAGGAGAACAAGCCGCTGTTTGCGCAGCTACACAAAGCCATGAATGGCTTGAGAGTAGGACCACTGAGCTGGTACCTAGAGTTTACAAGCACGCTGCGTAAGCAGTTTGGGTTTGGTGAAACTGCCGACCCTACTGTGCATCACCGGCTTGAGAAGGATGGTGCGCTGACCTTGGTGTTAGTGTATGTTGACGATCTCATCATCTTTTCCCAGAATCCGCCAATTGCCAAGGATCTGTACGCTAAGCTAGCGAAGATCTATAAAATGAAGCAGACAGGGCTTCTAGAACCTGGTAAGACCGGGCAGCTCGAGTTCTTGGGTCGAGTGATCGCCCGAACCACTGAGCACGGACCTGTGTTCTTTGGCCTGAAGCCAGGGTACTTGAAGTCGCTTGGAGAAGAGTTTGGCATTAGCGGAAAAGGTGTGAAACCAGTGCTGGGAAACCTCGAGAGGGAGTACCGGAAGAAGGAGGCTGGAACACCTATCAGCACTGAGGCGTATGAACGCTATAGACGTGTGCTTGGTAAGTTGATGTGGGCAAGCCTGACGTTGCCGCATTTGTCCTACCCGGTAGGATTTCTGGGCCGGTATCAGAGTGACCCAGATAGCCAGGCAGAAGCTTGCTTGAGACGCGTGGTTCGTTGGGTGATGGCTTTGCCTGAGTACCTTCAGCGATTTTCGGCAGAAGCGTTTGAGTATCCTTGCTGCGCTTCGGAAACCATGCTCTCTGGCTTTGTGGATGCGTCATGGAACATTTGCTCTGTGTCTGGTGCCATTGTGAAGTGGCATGGCATCATGATCAAAACTTTCTCGCGGAAACAGTCGGTGACCGCGTTGAGTTCGGCGGAGGCCGAATTGGCAGCCCTGACTGAGGCAGCCAAAGAGTCGGTGTACTTGTCTTTGCTCATGGAAACGCTCCTGTATGGAATGCCCAAAGGAGAGACCGGTGAGTTTCCGATTCACCTGGCTTCGGATTCGGAAGCCGCTTTGTCGATTAGCAAAATGACGGGGTTGTTACGCCGTGTTCGGCACCTGGAGCTTCGTCATCGCTATCTTCAAGAGCTAGTCCACCTGGAAAGGCTGATTCTAAGCTTCATCAGTGGAGAACGGAATCCAGCCGATGGACTGACGAAATCTCCTGAGGAGTTGTTGCTTGAGCATTTGCTGGTTGCGTGTGGACTGGAAAGAGTGTGTGAAGAAGACCTTCAGGGTCTTGTAGTTCCTGAACACCTTCGTGAACGAATGGAAGAACTTGAAGAAGTATGTGAAAAGCTTGAGAAAATCCCGACAAACCTGGCGAAGTACGAGCCAGTGGCAAGAGACCTTGCGTTGGGATCTGTTCCTCTGCTTGTGATCGAGGTGTTTTGTTCAACGGACAGTGCGTTGTGCCGAGCGTGTGCTCGTGACCGAGTAGCATATATAGGCATAACTGAGAAAGAAGACTTCTTAAGCAAGAGTACTCAAATGTTTCTAGGAGAGGTCTTGCTGTGTCTGTTGAGTAGGAAACCGCCCCAGATCTATGTCCACATAGCTTCCCCGTGTACCGCTGGATGTAGCTACCGCTTTAAGAACTGGCATCGACCGAAGTTTCGACATCGGTGGCGAGAGCAGGTCAAGAAGCATGTTGCATCTTGGAAAGCTTTAGGAAGACTTCTGGAGGACCGCTGCAAAGAGATCCTGGTTACCCAGGAATGGCCAAAGAACTGTGGTCTTTGGAAGGAGGAAAGTTATCTGAAAGAAAAGAAGCGCCTTGGTCTGAACTTTGGAAGGGTTGTGGACCGTTGTGCCTTCGACGGGGTCTTTAAGCGGTGGTTCTTTGCTACTAACCGAGAGGAGTGGAGTGAAATCTTCTCTGGAAAGCCCTGTGACAAAAGTCATCAGCATGTTTCACTTGCTAGTGTCGAAGAAACAGGTATCTATCCGACTAAACTGGGTAGAGCTCTTTTGCGTGCTGCGAAAGTCACGTTAGGTCTTGTAGGAACACCTTCTTAGGTCGGCAGTAGGAGTGCTCGCTTTCGGACTTTGCCTGGGATGAGATGTTTAAGCACTGGAAACACCGAGCTGTGAAGAAGTGCGTGGCTCTGAGGCATCACAGTCCAAGCGGGGGTGTGAAAGTTCCTGTCTGGCTCAAGTTTCGGCTCAACCCCGGTGGGGTGCTCAGGTAGGGAGTGCTGTTGCCTGGAGACTGTACCTAAGGGTGGGCTCCAACAGGACTCAAACCAAAACCACTGTGTTTGCTTGGTAGTCGGCTGCCAGCAACATAGCTGCCTGAGTACGGCCTCGCCAAGTGCTGAGGGAACTTTTCGGCCTCGCTTCGGCAGAGGGTGTGTTTTCGGCCTCGCTTCGGCAGAGGGAGTGGCCAGTTTCGGCCTCGCTCCGGCTGAGGACACATAAAGTTCGGCCTCACTACGGTTGAGGGGATCTTCCGGCCTCGCATTGCTGAGGTGCTGGTGGGACTGGCATCAGGCTGCAGCAGTCATGGGGAAGCATTGTACTGTGTGTGCCCACTGTGAGGTGGGTTGGGTCTGGAATGAAGACTTATACTACAACCCGAACTGCTGGCATTGCGGAAAGGCGTGGAAAAAGGCCACCTACCGTGAGCGAGCATGGTCAAGCCAGCGGAAGAAGTGGCAATGGCCAAAGGAAGACGCTACTTGGTGGACAAGACCTGCCAAGAACAAAGAAGGGATGGCCGACCAAGCCCTCACGAAGGCGTGGGGTACGCTTTCTATGGAGGCAAAGAAGGCCATCGAAGAAGCAGGATGGAAGCCGCGGACGATGGAGCCGGGGCCAATTTGGCCCCCGGGATTACCTGGCAATGGATCGCAGGCAGAAAGCATGTCACAG